CACAGACTCACACACACGCTCGCACACACAGACTCACACACACGCTCGCACACACACACTCACACACACGCTCGCATACACACGGACACTCACACACACGCTCGCATACACACGGACACTCACACACACGCTCGCATACACACGGACACTCACACACACGCTCGCATACACACGGACACTCACACACACGCTCGCATACACACGGACACTCACACACACGCTCGCATACACACGGACACTCACACACACGCTCGCATACACACGGACACTCACACACACGCTCGCATACACACGGACACTCACACACACGCTCGCATACACACGGACACTCACACACACGCTCGCATACACACGGACACTCACACACACGCTCGCATACACACGGACACTCACACACACGCTCGCATACACACGGACACTCACACACACGCTCGCATACACACGGACACTCACACACACGCTCGCATACACACGGACACTCACACACACGCTCGCATACACACGGACACTCACACACACGCTCGCATACACACGGACACTCACACACACGCTCGCATACACACGGACACTCACACACACGCTCGCATACACACGGACACTCACACACACGCTCGCATACACACGGACACTCACACACACGCTCGCATACACACGGACACTCACACACACGCTCGCATACACACGGACACTCACACACACGCTCGCATACACACGGACACTCACACACACGCTCGCATACACACGGACACTCACACACACGCTCGCATACACACGGACACTCACACACACGCTCGCATACACACGGACACTCACACACACGCTCGCATACACACGGACACTCACACACACGCTCGCATACACACGGACACTCACACACACGCTCGCAACACACGGACACTCACACACAAGACTCGCACACACACACGGACACTCACACATAGACTCGCACACACACACGGACACTCACACACGCACTGGGTCACACATGCAAAATGCAAGTACCCGGGAATTGATAAACACATGGACATGAAACGTCAATGCATTTTTTCGAACAAAACTAAACTTGTTGCAGTGGTCGAACAGACAGCTGGAATGGGTAGGGACGACTCGAGAAATAATCGAGGCAGCGCCTGTGACATGCACGCACGCACATCGGGGCGAGGGAGGAACGCTATTCAATAGTGAGGCCAATCCCCTTACCGTTTGGTGATCGCCCGACGTTCCAGCGGAGACTTCAATTAAAGAGTCAAACGACGAAAAGCTGGTGCCGCCGCCAAAGGCTTCGTAGCCGTGACGGAGCTCACAACCTGCAATTAGTGCCTCAGTAAAGCGGGAACCACGAGCACGTTACCACTTCCAGCATGGAACAAGCTAAGGCAGGTGCACAGTGAGGTGACGATGAGGGCATGGTGCAAGCTACATCCCCAAGCCGTATGATTTGCGTGCCTATTACTAAATAGCGAAGCCTTCTTTAGGGCAGACACACGATCTTGTGAATACGAACTCGACGACACCCGCTGTGTTTTGTTGCAAACGTTCGTCCAGGTTGCGCTGTCTAACGAATTCATTAATTAAGGCCAGTACTGCCAATACTGAAAAGCATATGCTTACGCACAGTGCTCGTACCTTCGTGCCTGTTTCTCGTATGTGCGAACTTCAGTTGCAGGCCACTTGTGCCTACCCGGATAGCAGCATATGATCAATCCAGGACTGGTTTGCGCCATTAATAGACGACGGAATGATTGTGTGATGACGTGATGGCAATGGGCCAAACACTATAGCTGATATGCATCAATGGGGCTGTTATTCATTTTTGATAGCTGATTTGTTTACTGGAGTATGACTGACTTTAGTCTAGAGCATTGCGAGAAATAGGATAGGACAAGATCTTTTGTCGAACACGTGGACATTTTTGTCGGTATCGGGTTTAAAAAAAAGCAACGGCAGATACAAAATGTTATATTTTTATACTACCTATCAATCGAGATAAAAGTTGCGCCTAACGTTAAGATGATCTATGGCTCTCTTTCAACAGTTCCTCGGAGCGATTGCGCTCGTGATGGGCTCGGTGTTGGCAGCTGAAAGCCCTCCAAAATCAGGGACAAATTCAGAACAAAACGCCGCCATCGATGTAGTAGATTCGTTATTAATGGTCACTAGTACGGCAATGCCTGCATCCCTGCCGGAAAGCACTGCGTTAAAAGTTGCCGAACCCTTACCTATTGCCGAGGCTCACGTTTCGGCTCAGATCCAGATGGCTTCTGCCGGTAGCGATCAAATCCACAGCGGAGGTCCAAAGTTTCGAAAGGCTGCAGAAAGCTCCACTAGAGAGATGCCGGCTACTTCTACGGTGTCGCCTACGGCATTTCTTGTAAACGACAATGCTCGAGACAACCGCGGTGAGTGTCAATGAGAAGGACCTAGGAAAGTAACACATATCGACACGGCATTTGCTAAAATTGTGCCGCTAACTGAAGGACATATCATCTACTCATTTTCCTTCTTCCTAGATCAATAAAAGAAAATGAATTACGAACGTAGATATATTAGACAAAATCGAAAAATTGCCATCGGAATTATATATTAATGAGGCTCACAGGCCTAGATATGTTCACTATGCGCTCAAATACTTTGTTACAACTTCATCCGCTTTAGTCTGTTCTTCACGATCTTAATTTTGAAGGCGCGAGGTTCTATTTTTTTCACCGCTAGATTTCACATTTAGTTTGTAGATAAACACTGCGCCATAACATTATTATAAGTCATCAATTATATGGAAAACTGAAATCTAGGTTCTCAAGTACGTCAAAAGTCGTATCAAGCTGTGTGTTACTTCGAAATTTATTAGCGACACTTTATGTAACGGCCCACGGCAACAAGGGAAAGACCACAGATGTACTTGAACTCCTTTTAATTGTAGTATGTACAAATCCATAGAAATACAAGCAATGAAGAGAATAATGCGGGTAATTCACATCTCCTATTAAGATAAAAATGAAGACTGTGCTCTGAGATCTACATGGCTCAAATGTCTGATTAAAATTGAACACTTCGTATTGATATATTGACGTGCAAAGCCACTTTTAATTGTGTGGATATCTCTCAAGTCATTTCGGTGTGATCTATACCATTCTTTTGTTTTTATTTACAATTCATATTCGAGGGAATTCTCTTGGTTTCTGCCCTGCTAGGCAAATTTACATTGTTTACTCACTATTTTTAACGGATGTATTTTTAATTGTCTGATTTACCCTATCGATGAGTTTTATTCAAAGGATTCGCTCTATTTTAAAGACTAGTCTGCTTACAATTCGAGTGCGTCCCCAATATGCGCTTCGTTCCCATATAAATATGAACATAAAGTTCCTCTAGCTCTTGGAAAGAACGTTCAACTTCTGGCGGATTAGATATACTCTGGTTGGAAAAGGCTGAAGTATGACAAGAGCAACTGAAATACCAGAAATTTAAACCTAGAACTTATTGAACGTGTTTTATCTACTGGAATTAGTTTAGTGATAGTATAAATTTTTCCTATTTTATGGTTTATAAAATAGTTATGTGGCGCTGTTACCGTAATACACCATCATAACCCATTATAGAGATAATCAACAGGATATGCTCGTTTGCTTTGGCTCGTCTACTTAATTACTTTACTAACTTATTCCATCTTTGTTTCAACGTTATTCAGAACTAAAATTTAGCCTTCAATCATTTTTTGCATAGATTTGGTGCACAAAGGCAGATCCCGCTTTGCAAACACAAACCGGTAACAAAGGCCTTGCTAGTGGAAGGGCTGAACTTGTCTCAATGGCATCTCTCAGGAGAAAAGACCTAATCAATTTCAATTTTTATCTAAGAAAGCAAAAGGGGCAATTTCGCTCTGTGATTAACGATTTTCGAATGGCTCTGATCGGCCTCCCTCCGGAGAGACTCAGCCGCCTTTTTATGGCACCGTTGACACTATTTATCTATTTATCATTGTTCGCTAACTTAAGACGATAGTCTGACATCGAATCAATACATTACTTTAATCTATTTCCGATACTAAAGTCCTATACAAATGTATACGATTGTTTTTTGCATGATCAGTACGTTGAAACGGGTTGAGCGTGAACAGCCAAGAAGGTCGAACCTCTTATTAAAAAAAACTGATGTGACATTAAACAGGCCATCACTAATCATGATGTTCTGTTTGTAACTGCTTTAACAATAGTAAATCCATACGATAATAGTAAACCATATGATTGAAATGTCAGATGGTTGACGGGAGCTAGATGTAGGATTTGCAATTGGGGTGCATGCGAACTGGCCGATGTAGCAGCACTGACAGATTTAGAAACGACCGGTAAAGTTAAGAATGGCGTATGCAGTGGGCATCCAACGATAAAAAAAAAAAAAACAATTTAGAGAAGGTGAGTTCCAAATGCAAATCGGATCAATTAGTGAACATATCCATTTAAGAGATGGGTTAGTGAGGTCTGTAGTGGGGTATCGGTGCAACATATTGACGAACAGTGAACAAGAGGAACTGGCGATAGTAATGGAGGCCAAAGGAACAGCTGTGGTATCTGTAAACACTTTCAAAAACATTTGCAGAATATGCTTCAGTCACCCATAGCGTCCTAGACCATTCAGCTGTTTTTCATCATGTGGACACTGCTCTAGATGTGCGATACACAAAGGATACTAGGCAGGGGGGGGGGAGGGGGGCGATCAACAAGCCATATGGGAGGATCAGCGTACAACGACCAAAGTAAGAAAATAACAAAAGCATTGCACGATCCGTGAGCATCGCGGCGCGCTTGTTGGTGCGAGTTAGGACGAGAGAGCGAGACAAGAGAAACCTATGACCATAACAACGGACGCACGCTGAGCGAAGCAATAAGGAAAATAATATAATAATAATATTAAGGAATAAGGATTATTGACTTAGGGGAGGCCTCGTCGAGTCGATGTAAAGAGCTCCAGAACCGCTGCTACAACTACTGCTAAGTCTCCAACAGCCTGCTAACACAAATACGGCGGTATGAACAGGCGATGGAACAGTCATTCAACTGTTCAACGATAAAAATGAGTGACCGCAATATGTCACACCATGTTGACGCGTTAGTAAAAAACAACTAAGTTTAACTGTGTTCAAAAATAAATTGAGTTCAATGACCGCCTCACGCAAGAGGGCTAGCAAGCAACGGGTAGGATGGGGAAACAATGGTCCTTCCTTCGCTGGCGTACTGCGAATCTCTCGCTTGTCGTTATCAGCATTATATTGCTGACGTCGTTGCGGCGTTGTAACTTTAGGAAAAGTTACATTATATCATGATATAATCATGATATAAGGAAATCATGATATAATGTCAGCCAGTTCTCGAAGTCGCCGCAACGGACCTCACAGACCACTTTCTAGTTTCCACGTCGGTTTATTGAGTGTAGCGCATCACGATCATTTCGAGGTTCACGAAGTTATTACTGTTGCGGGTATTAAACTATAACACAATCAAGAAGACTAATTGTGCAGGGTCTGGCAAAGGACGTCGTTGCTACCTGTTCACTGGAGAGAAGGGTCTATGAACTGGATTCATATTGGGGTACGGCAGCCCTCAATACTACAACCATATCGAAATTTTTCCTTCGTTGCTGGAAATACTAAGCAAAGCGGGTTTAATATTGTAATTACCATTTCTCTTTCAGAAGCAAGCAATCGCTTTAGCCTTTTTCTTGTCGTTGCTACGAAGACAATACTCGTTTGTATACACATAGTAATTCTAACCCCTTGGGGGGAATAACTACTGACCCGATATATTCGAGCTATGAGCAATTTTATTTTTCACACGACCCATATTCCTTTAATGTCGTCGCAGAGGCTGTTGCTGTTTTTTTGTTAGTACAACTAATTTAGTATGCCGTTCTGATGATGACTACTCGGTTATTCCCACTTTTGCATAAAAACGGGGCGAAACAATCTTGTAGGTAGGTAGCCATTAATGAATATTGAAAATTTGGCTAAACCTCTAGAAAATAATTTTTATTATTTTTACAAGGAATTGTAAATTATACTATCATATTATATGGTGAACGAAGCATATTTTGTAGGCCGAGTTATCATTACAAATAAACTGAACATAAAACACCTGTACCCCGAATCCTGCACATTAAGGACTAAAAAGCGACACACTTCTCTTTAAGGAGTCGTTTAAAACCTCTTCCTAAGGCGGCTTCGACAGGTCAAATAATACGCTCAAAGCAATTCTATGCTAATAAAAACAATCACAAGGTTTCCATAACTTTACGTGGTACAACAAATTATTTGAACTCAGTTTATTACAACTTGAAGATATGCCGTATGTTCACAGTAACCTGAAAATGTCTTATCTTCTAGATCGTTTCTATCCAGAGACTCGCTATGACAACCGTTACCCGGACTACCGCCATGATAACCGTTTTGACAACCGTTACCCGGACTACCGTTATGATAATCGCTATGACAACCGATACGCTCCGGGCGTTGGTGGCAGCGGCAACTATGGGGTCTACGGGCCCGGATCCGCCTATCGGAACGCGCTGGTAAGCAACGTCGACCGTCGTTTCTATCGGGGCTACAATCCATATTACAACGAAGCTTGGAGACGAAATTTCTATGACCCGTACTATGATCAACACGGTCCATACTTCCTCAATTACGGCAGGGATGGACGGGCTTACGGAGAACGGCTACCGTATCATCCATACGGCAACGATTACTTCTATCGACCGGACAGGTACGAGGAACTATATATTCGAAGCAAAAGCAATCAGCGATATACTCTCCAGCTTAATTCTATAGCATATACGCTCTGCTTAGCGTCTGTTTGCAAGTACGTTTAATAAGAGAACGAAGTGATTCCACACACAACGATGCTTTGGCCTTGTAACATCGAACCTCGAATGTGCCAGATCATGACCTTCCCATGTTGACTACCTGCAGCATTGTCATGTGCCCAGCTACACGCGTTGTAACTGTAATGTATTATATGCAGATAATGTTAATTCTCCTGGACTACCGACCCTTACATACGATACCTTATGTTATCTGATATCTACAAATGTTGCTACACAATATGACTTAGTAAATATGCTAGCATTTTATGCTGCAAGCAGCTGAGAATTGGTGTTTCCCAAAAAGTTTTGTAGTGCAGCAGCACAGGAGTGGTTGCAATGGTAAAAAAAATGTTTAGAAATGTTTTTTCTCGCCGGGGGAAACACACACTTGAAAGAACATTCAAAAGAATGCACGCATATACTGATACGTGCAGACAAGCAGCGGTTGAATCAGCGCCCGTTGGCGTTGGCGTCGGCGACGGGGAAGCAAACTCGGAGGAAGAGTGCATTCTGTGCACGGCCAGGAGGAAAAGCATGTTGTGAGCCTCGGCCCAGCAATGGGTGCGGGTGAGGCTGTGTTGTAGCATCCAATCTGCCGACCAAATCTCCAGGGAATGAGTTCATTTGTTCACGAACGAATGCAGGGGAGTGCCGCTGGTAATGCCTCTTTACTCTCCTCAGCAGCAGCAGCAGCAGCAGCAGCAGCAGCTCGAACCCTAGCACCATGCTGGGGAGGGCGAAACAATCGAACACCCCCTTCAGTAGACTACAGGGCAGAAACTTAGCATGAAAGTACTGTACAACACACTATCTGAACGGGAGGGGGTGAAGCGTACCTGTAGTGATCGCCTGAAGGGCTACGGTTGGAACAGCAGGGGCAAAAGAGAAGAACAGCGAGTAACTGTACTAGCTTTCGTGGCAACACTGACAACAATTGCCGCTGGAGGGTCTGGTCTACTGTAAACGTCGGAACATCGGTGAAGTGGACGGTGTTTCCATGCGTGGTGCAACCAGATGTGGAAGGACCACAAACTACCATAGGGTGGCTAGGAGACAAAACAGGCAAGCAGATGTCAAGGATCAGGCACAAATGCTTTCACTATATGTATGTGTGTATACGTTAAAGGCTTTGTGTGCATTCCAAATGAATCTAATGTGAGTCTGTATAATCGGATTTTTGCACTGTTGATGTGCATCTTTAGGCTTATACATGCATGTGTATGGCAGCCGTAGATACGGCGAATACTGGCACAGCAGCGGTACAAAAATTTCCTGGGGAGCCAGTGGCTAAGACGCTGCTCGAAATTAGGAAATTAAAGAAACCACGGCAATATGCAAAAGTAAAACCGGGGTAACAGCAGAACTATTTACAATGTATGATTCATAGACAAACTTTTTAAATAGCCGAACTAGAGCAGTTCATGTTGCTGGTTCAAACACATGTACCGCTACCAAACGATAGGTGTTAATGGAAAACGACATGACGAAATAAATGTTAATTTGCGTGAGTACTGTTATTCAGCGTTCGTATATTCAATATTCAACATCAAGTATTTGATGCTTGTCTACAGAATTGACCCATATCGATTCGGCTATTCGACCGATAAACTTGGCCGTGGGTTTGGATACTCATGCAAGGATGTGTTCGAGTGTCAAGATCTGAAGAACCGAGAGGATGCTGCTCGCGAAGCTCAGCGACGATCATATGGGCCACCAGCGCCATTGTACAACCAGCCATACCATCCCTCGCCGGCCCCATACCAACCGTCCTCAGCGACCTATCGGGTTCCGTATGAAAACGCCAACCTTTGTGAGTTTTCCAATACGAACAACGCTGCGGTAGACATTTCAGATTTAAGCCTTCTATGAAAATATTTGCCGTAAACGAGAACGAACGTTTCAGCTAAGAAGTTTAAATTTTATTTAAAGTTTAAATTATAATCGTTTACAACAACGTTGCACTATTTATGTTTAGTCGAGGTATAAGTTATATACTTCGCCTTCCCAAAACAAGAGTATTTATTCGCATATGCAAGAAAAATTATGCTGTTTTGCTGTCTACTTACTCTAAGCGGCGTTGACCTAGGTCCTTTGAATACTGACATCTTCGTTTTTCTATTCTTAAAAAATATATCGATAGGGTATCTGCCAACCGCCACGCCGAGTTCAGGCCGATCGGTAACGTATTTCTCCCAGGACCGTTATGATCCATACATCGGGGGCTACTACAGCGATATGTATGCCGGCTACCCGGGTTACGCTCCCTACTTTAATGACCGATACCGTGACTACTCTCGGGGAAAGAAGAAATAGAAGGAAGACTACAAGGTTTTTCGTCGTTTAAGAACTAGAAAAGTTAGCTATACTCTTGAAACTTGACGTTGCGTCGAAATATTGACCAGACTCAGTATTCGTCAATAATTGCTTGGACTAGGTTTCTTCGGAATGAGTTTTTGTCACTTGGCTGAATAAGCGGGCAGAACCAAGATTGCCGAACGTACTTAGAGCGAATCGGGAGAACGCAACTACGATAAAATTAGCGTACGATTTTGTGGTGAAAATCGCGTGCTTTAGCCACGAGCGCAAAGCTTATACGGTAGAAGAAAATGAAAATATATGATTGAGTTTGCGACCGTCTATTGGGAAAGTCTATTTAGTCGCAAACGGCTAGTCTTAAAACAACATTAGAACAAGGTACTGAAAAAAAGAAATAAGAAAAAAAAACATAAGTTTTGCTGAGAAACGACTTGACGTTCGTATCCCTTGTCAACGTTTATTTTTAATTAGAACCCTATTACTTCACATATTGTACATTCGTGGCTGTCCTAGTCACGTATCGAAGTCTATAATTAACGTGCTTAGTGTTTATAGGTGTTCTAGCCATTGAATATCCTGGTCTAGCCCGTGCTAGACCAACCTCAAAGTAGCAGTCTTTTTTCCTTCCTTTCGCCTGTATCTCGCGGCGTCTGCAATACTATAACTGCTCTGGCATTGAATACGCGATGAGAAGATAATAACTGGATCACGTTGTGTTGACGCATCTCTCTACTTGGGTGTTGGTCACGCTGCAATGGACTCATGTACGCAACTGTGGTCATATTTTTTTACTGTTGTTTACCGCGTATGGCAGCAGTTGCGTCTCACGGTCTTCACCGCTACTATCATCATCATCATCATCATCATCATCAACAACAACAATAGCAACAAAAGGCAACATCAAGAAAATAGCAAACCTTATTTCTAATAGCGTGATCCACTTCAGCTAGCACAACCGTTGTGAAGCACCGAATGTGGCAATGGCGGCGATACGCTTGAATAGCGGTGATGTTATCGCAAATGGTCTACAAAGCACAGGAACGTCAAACAATTGCTGCATCCGGCGATGAGTCCATAACAGTCGAATGGTTGCCTTCTAGTATGCTTGTCCTTGGCTGCCTTCGATGGCCTCACTGTGGGCCGCATTTTCTGCTACTAACCGCTAACACAGCGCAACGGGCTCATTCTGCCTACGAAAAAAAACACAAAATTTAACAAAATCCTCTTAAGGGAAAACACCTAGATGTCATTTGGTCACATTGCTGCCTGCTGTTTGTGCTTCAGCAACTCATTTGTTTAATTTCGTAACTTACCGTGTTGTATCGTTCTGTATTCTAATCCTATGATCGTTTTCATATGGAACCGTTCGTTTCGTCTACGTTGGGTACATGTTTCGCTGTTGGACAGATCGCCGCATAATGTCCTCCGTTTGATTCTTACTCCGATCACTCACGGTGTATACCCTCCGCCGATGTCCGTCGTTCCACGCATAAGCAGTAGACAAATAGTAACCACTCAATAATAACTTAGCATGTTCCTAAGATCGTTATAGTGTCATAATATAACACTAGTAATATTTACAGTCAATCTATTGTACATCTATTATCAGGTGGTAAAAAGGAAGTAAGTTGTTATATATATAAATGAGTTGTATATATAACTCATATGTTGAACTAGCTTCAACGATTATTTTACACAAAATAGTCTTAAATCATGTTACACGCTCAAAGGGCAAAACATCTCATCAAATATTATTAAGAAAAATACAAAGGTGTATTACCAGATTAACAGGCTATTACTCATTGGGCAAGTCGTATTACTTATGTCCTAATAATATCCTAACTAACCAAACAAATTGTCGTCTTTTTTAAATATAATAGCTGTATCTAACAACAGCTTCGAGTACCTGTTCTGTGTGGCCTGCTAGGCTTAGGTGACACAAATCAATCCATGTATTCATTTAGAACACACAAAAGCCGATGAATAATGCTTCCGCTATAACTAACGATGGGAGCCGGTTATCCGATAAACGCCTGCATTCTTTGATGAAATCATACGGATTCTTATAGAGAAAAAAACTGCACGCCCGTACGCTCCTATCGCGCAACTAAACGTTTCAGTGTTCAGGTGGTCAGTTTCGTAGCAACTCAACAGACTAAGGTCTACAAAAAGACATCGAGCATTCGAAGGTGAGTGATACGTGTTTGGTGCTGCTAATTTGTCTACTTTGATGGGTCCTACGATTCCCGTATAGTTGAGACCTCGTTTGACGTAAGCGTGTGCATTACCCAATTCCTAATCTGTGTAAGATGTCGGACTGCCATGTAGAAATTTGGTAAATTTAGGTGTGGAGATTGAAAACGGCGGAGGCGAAAAAGCGTGATGCCAATAAAATAAGGATCATTTGTATTGCACGGTTTAATGACTGATGATCTAAAATTGCAATAAAATCAAAATTTGTTAAGCGCGTGTATTTCAGTTCTCCTATGTTTTTAGATTTACGAATCCTTTTGTCAAGGGCCAGTGTCAACGTTGCTACTGAAAGAAAAGGAAGAGCATCTTTCGGTTTACAAAAAATCCTGTCACTCCTCGTCGGTGAAATGGCACGAACCGGTTTCAAAGCTATGTCACCTACTGCCACGCAGCAGAATTCGATGTCTGTTACTATGTTTAATCAATATGCACGGGCTATGGTTTTCAAGAGAAGTTTTTTCCCGTCCTAAACGGCCTTAGTCTGAACAGCCATTCTATAGCGCTGCGGGGTCTTTTGTCAGGTAGTAGTGGGTGCTCAGTCTTGGGTATTTTGAAAACGTGGCAACGTCAGACTCTTAAGCGCAACACCTAACCTATTCATGGTGTGTCCCGGTTAGGGAAGTCAATATACATAAAACATGCTAAAAATTTGTATTCCCAGTACTGGGCTCGGAAAACGCCGATAATATATATTTCCATTTTTAGTTGAAATTATTTTACTTTTCCTCGTAGTGTAGCTCAGCTTTACTTTTAACGGCAATATGAGCGGTGTCTGCTGTAACCCCGTTTATACACTCAGACTAATATAATGATGATGATATAAATTTAGCCCAAATTTCAAAGCCGAAGTGCTCTTTCGGGCGAGCCGCCATGGTGTAAATTGATATGAAAATGAATAGCGTCTTAAACTAAACAAATTAATCAGGAGCGCTTGCTGTTGTTAACTAAACTAAACATAAACGCATATTTAACCGCAACAGCGATACGCACTGATATACAGATCATTCAGTAGCTTCTGTCAATAGTGATTCAATTTTATATCACGTCATGGTACACCATCTGCTTGCATCTATTACACTTATTAGATGGATTAGTTATCTAGTGAATTTTGGTCGACTGTTGTTGGTAGCTATCACTCTCTAGCTCGTATACTATACATTGTCACTTAATATAGATATAGGACGAAATTGTTTCGGTGTCAGCCTATCCCGTCAGCTTTTTCTGTCTCAACAACATACCGGCTAGCTATGCCTCGAAAAAGGGTGTATGATCATACTGGAAATAGGTGTTTTATCGTAAACGGAAACACCTTCGAAGCTACATGAGAGTATCATACGTCAGAGTGCGACTGAAGTGTACCTGAAAGCAGCAGGAACGACGGATATGGACACAACATTGAAAGTCGATATGTGAAACAATGCGAGACATGATTTCGAATTCATAGGTTGGAAAGATTTTGAAGTTTGCACCTTCCTTCACCGTGCTGTTTCTCAGTCGCATCAGAGATATCCTGAGGCAGGTTAGTTGGAAGAAAGACTGATGTTTCAACAGACTGTCGAATGCGATCTTTGGGTGCGTGGAATGTGAGTGAATAATTGGGTCAAATCAGAGAGTTATCCGGCAGTGTTATGCAGGGGCAAGTCACCCGAGAAGGACCACCGAGAAGAGATCACCAGAAAAGTATAATCATCAATTACTGGAAAGGGGCAACAGTATGAAGAACCAACTTTTTAACAGATAATTAAAAAAAATCCATGTTCGTCTATCTCAAATGAATGTTTCGAGATCTACGTTAGATGTCGCCGTTTAGCATTGCCTAACTCACAGAATTAGCTTACCTGGATGTTAAAAAAAAAAAAATATAATATCGGTACTTGTAAAAATTGCGCTTAATAATTGGTACCACCTAAGATGTCATTGGATGCCAAAAAACTCTCGGAAATACCGTTGCGGCATGAAAGAAAAGGTACCCAAATACCTATATAGCTAGGTTTTCCTGCGCAACCCGCCAGACTAATTAATGCGTAAGTGAGTAAATTCAAATAGTTATGCTCATTCGAAAAAAAATTATACATTTTTATTATCTCTAAATATAATCAGGCGGTGCATGCTGATTTAGTGATCCTCCTGTCGATGTCATTTTCGATCGTAATCTAATTTGTTACCATTTTAAAGTGTACGGTATCTTTGTCGCTCTATCCGTTGAAGTATTCGTAATGGAAACTCGTTGAGAAGGTCGTTGCAGTGACCACACAGATTTATAAGAATAGCAGATTTGCCCTTGACATTGCGTTACATAATTTTCTTATTAAAGGCGTTTTTCACCCAAGTGAGAGCCTAGTAGTCACTGTCATAGACGTCTGTGTACGTGTATAGGTATGGGAGTTTTCACTTATGCCTTCTATCTACGCAAGCGTATATCATACCAACAAGATGACCCACACTCGCTGTTTGGTCTGCTGTACTCTCGTTGTCGTTGCTACTTTTGTTTACTTACGACATGTTGAGGGCAGCAACTCTTTCCTGAAACGTTGTGACTAGTCATCTGAGTAAAGAAATGGATGGACAACCCGTGGACGACGCTGCATCGCCATAGCTCATCGTTATCCAGACATATCGGCGTACAGAAGCTGCAGTAGCAGGCATGAAGAAAAGGCAAAAGTTGGTCAGCAGTAGTTTGGATATGAGGACAGGTCGTAGTAGCAGTACGAGCGTGCCAACGAATGTTTTTTCGGAACGCACGCTTCGAAGCGTATGTGGACCAATCTTTCCTTGCGCTCTGCCAAGAAATCTCCTCTCCATTGTTGTTATGCCTTTCCCGCGCAATAAAATAAACATACGTCGGCCTTCAAATTTACCAAAACCTATCCACTGCTACCAGCGCAGCTGCGGTTTCAAGCAGCGGTTCCTATGGTAGCAGAGATCTGCCCAAGCAACCACGACGGACGCCAACAAGCTGATCCGATGTCCCACTGCGCTACTGTTGCCGCTCTAGCTTGATTTGCCGTATAGCCTTTTTCCAGTTTATTTCCATACCAGCGGATGGGAGGCACCAGTCCACTTAACCCGTACTTCCGGCAAATAGACAGCTAGTTGCTGTACTGTCATCCACTTTTATTTTGTGTAGGTTCAGTAGAGGCAGACGGTGAGGGCAAACAGCAGGCCTCAAGCCTGTCCAGATGAAGGGATTTAAGGTGTAGTGATCCAGCCTCCAGCACGCCCTATTCTATTTCTGAGACCATTCAGAAGACTCTGCTTCACCATGGCTAGGTCTGAAGGCTTCTGTCGTGTGGCTGGCCGCTTTTTTCGGTTGCTTTATGTCGAACTAGCTCTGTTCTGTGCTCCGCGATCTTGAGCAAGTTCCTATGTTCGAATGCTTAGTTTGTTTTGCATCCAGCTCCAGCCAGGCAGAAAATGGCCTGACTTCCCGTTCGCACTCAGGCCCGTAAAACTTATATCTAGACCCCGGTTCTGGCGGTTGGCCTAGAGGACGGTAGAATTGTACCACCCGGAAAGGGCCACTAAACAGCCTTCTGCCTCGCACACATTCCGTATGTTGAATTGTAGCGGTTCTTGCCGGGCACACACCGCGCTACGAAAAGGATATAATGCCTGCCAACAGACGTGTAAGTTAACGGTGTCTTCGCAATTCGCCAAAAAGGAACTCACAGAAAAATTTTGTCTAAGGAAGCTTTGTTCTGTAGAACAGGGATTTAGTTTTGCCACGTCCATAAATATAATAGTACAAGCACAAGGATCAGGTAAAGTAGCTATCGGAACATTACACAGTTTGTGCGTTTCTACAAACGTGGCGCCAGTTTCGTTGTTGTTGCTGTTGTTTGATTTAGCGGCGCTAGAATCGTATTTGAGGTCTTTTATTACTGGAGACAGTTTTGTTAATGAGGCTCAACCAAGTATCATGTCGCCTTACCATATCCGCCGTTTGATACGACTTTATTACTATAACTGATTGTACTACGCCTGATTATAGGCTAGTCTTTTAGTCTAAATAAAAAAAAACACCAACTAATTAATCACTGCTGTTAACCATTGATTGAAATGAAAATGCCCAGACACAGAATCCATTGTGTGGGATAAAAATTAGCAAAATTATGTTTTCCCGCTGAGCTGCATCTCATGCGACACGGTTTCAATCAGTAACTTCACTTGGCCAATCGTTGATTGAGAGAACCTTGCAGTTGCCGGCTCTGGAGTCTCTCTGAAGAACAATACGGAGGCCGTGGGATGTTCGTATTCAACCTGTTACACACGAGCCTCCGTTTGTCCGCAACCGTCGGCATATCAGTAAGATTTTTCATTCTATAAGAGGCCATCCTTGAGTCGAAACTATTTCTTGTTTTATTTGAAATAGGTTAGACCTGTATTCACTATAGGGATCGTAGAATTCGAGCAGCTATTAAGCGCGTGGTTCTTCTGACATGAGCTTATTTATTTCGTCTTCGTACGGAAACTACGGAGGATCTTTCAATCCGTCTAATATATATATACATACATACACATCTAAAAGAACGATATCGGCACACTCTCGAAATTTATTTATTGTCTTTTACATAAAACAAGCGCGGTAGCATATTCGACTTAATATTATTTGGCATGCTTGATATGTCCTTCAAACTCGTCTACGAATTAGAGTAATATTTTTCAGCAGCTCATCAAATAGGCACTTATCTATTGGCTGTATATTGAGAGCCATACGCAGTCTGAGCATATGCCATATGTTATTGTTACGGCAATTCCGACCTAGACAGCTCTACAGAGTTGAGATAACTCAAAATTTATTTTCTTGTAGTTATCCTCGTCAAAGTATCTTCATCACGCCTCGATTTATGACTAGCTGAACCATTTCAAATGCTGCATGGGGTCTGGCAATCGGTGGACGAATTGCCCGACATGGTTCATCACCGATCTGTGAATTACTGTCATTATTACCTACGCATATAGACGACGCATCTCAAGCGTTTCTACTCGTATAATAAAGTTGGTACTGGATTAAATTTACAGGTGCAGTTTATTGATAGTTGATTTTTAATGGTTATTCATTTAGATTAGAGAGACATTCATCTGACACCTGATCATCACAATCTGAACAGAGAGTAAAACGACGCTTTTGAAATGACGCACGGAAAGTAGAATGAGAGTGAAAGCAGGCATGTCCTTCCCAGCGCTACGACGAAAGGCTTCCCCAGTCCTAGCGATGTGAGCAGAATTTCGAACAAAACGGATTTCTCGGGTCGCTTCAGACGAAATCCTTCTTCGTCTCCCGGTTTTTAGAGGAATTTCAAGGGTACCAAAAGGGTAGCTGGCTTTACAATCAAACCTGCTGTCAGCTCACCTCCGTGTTGCTTTTGTAATCATGGTCTCATTGAAAGCTATATCGAACACCCCAATTAAGCCAGCTCTTAAAAACGACCAAACGGCGAGGTCTTTCCCGCCTCCAATGTATAGCAGTCCCGATTCGATCATGATAAATTCTACAAGCATTTTTGAAATGTGCGGGTCGTTTGAAGCTGTACGTAAGAAAAAACGCACGCAGGAGGATTGCCTCCCAGAGTATCGGTTCAGAGTTAGGTATCATAAACAAATGAAGGTGCACTACCGTATTTAATAAGCATTGTTCTCAAGTTATTAAAATGAATCATTAGGAGTAATACGTAGCGAAATATAAGTATCCAGGGTAACACCTTGAAGGAGCGGTCAAAGGATCTGAAATAACGTCAATGTACGTGCAATGTCAAAGCCAAGCTCTTAGTTTACGGGCGTGGAAGGCAGAAAGCTCATTTCATGAGAGGTGGGAATCATTTATTATGAACTAAAGCTATTAGAAGGAGGTCCCATTTTGTTCTAAGAGCAAGTAACTAATTCATTGAATCGCGTAAAAAAATTGCAGTGGTCGACGATTTGACATCTTAGTAGCGAACTTTTCAAACGAAGCACAGCATGGTAAGTTACCTTTAGGCGGTGTATTTGCAACCTCTAGAGGTACACGTGAAAGAGCCTTTGTCTGCCTGTTCGGCATAGCATGCCTTAATTAGCTGAAAATATAGACACGCGTTTGTTAGAAGCATTGGAAACAACAGTATACGTACAAAAAATCATTTACATAAACATTTTATAGCTTAATTTGTTTTTACTATCGTTATATTCTACATTCGCGATTCAGTTTTTAACTCTGTAAATTACTCAAAAGTGTTTTAGGATACATGAATAATTTATCATTGCTTTAACAAGTACATTACTCGAAGAAGCTAGCTAAAAACAGAGCAAAGACCATTAACTGATTGTTTGTTCTCCACCTAAAATGTAGTCGAGCCCGATCAACTCAAAAAACGTGTAGGACACTTTAATAAAAATATATAATTATAATTAGTCGTGACGCATAATATCTTTGTCCATTCCTACTGAACAGTAACACATTTCGGTATATGACAGACATCATTCTTTCCGTCATTATATGATGTCTTTTAAAAGATGAAGAAATTTTTAGCAAAAAAAGTAATGCTAAGAAACAAATTAATTCTTTTTATAGTGCACCAACTCACCTTGCAAATTGTGAGGTTGCTGCCGCCAATTTCCCCAGCCATAGCTGCGTTTTCGCACTGAAAGCCAACAACACAATGCGTTCGCGTAAACAATATGTGGGGTTATTTTCCATGCAATCTAATTTTCAATGAACATAAAATTTGGGTTCATCATTTAGAGTCCACTCTTGAGAAGGCCGACACGCTTCGGCAGACCAAAGAGACACCCAGCTGGTCAGATTTCGTTCTTCGACATTAATAGAACCTTGTATGTATGGAGAGAAATATGTACGGATATGAAATTACTAATAACCTTGTGTAGGGATAGGCTCTTCATGTCAACGCAAATCGACTGGTAACCGAGTGGATTTGCGTTCGTAAGGGACATACAGTCGTGGCAGCGGGCTGTTGAGGGTCGGCGACCGGTCCGAATGCCACGCGAGCTCGGGCAAGCATGAATCGTGGGACATATGATAGAAGGATCAAGTCTAACAAAGTTTAAGAGAAGACGGGGTGAGTTACTCAAAACGTTAGGCTCATTTACCTACATTGTAAATAACAGAAAATCTGTGATGTTTTCATATAGCAGCGCCGCATGTATCTTACATAAGTTGTAAAAATTTAACTTGTCCTGTTTAATGCCTATGAAACTTATTGAACTCTCAAATCTGTTCAAACGTATTTGCGAGACCAGGACCGTAAGTCAATCTAACGATCTTAAATTCCGCTATGAACTTCTGCCAATTACAACTTTTTCGAAGTACTGCTGATATGTACTGACTTTTGAGCGATGATCACCTCGAGCGCGCTTCCGTAGACGTCGATGAACTCTTTGCAGTCGCTGGCCATTCCCGGGTTCTTCAACTTCGCGCACATTTTGTCAAGTTCTGATCGAATCTCCGCCTGAGTCGCATTATCGTAGAGCTTCTCTTGAATATAGTGTAGAGAGTACTCGCATAATGTGCAGACAAGATCGGGCCCATTGCTAAAATAGCAGCAGGTAGTTAAATTGTATAAAATTAAATGTGAGCAAACTTATCGTACGAGTTGACCGCAAAACCCAGCTTTAACCTAGACTCGTTTTTTAAAGGTAATTACACCGTTTTCTTGTGCTTGTTATGTCCGCGATAACAAAAGTGCTCTTCGCTTCGATTCCCTATCATATTTTTCAAAAATTAATTTCTCGGCTGTTTTTTAGTTAGGTGGAAAAAAGTGCATAATATTCGGCACTGAACGAAAGAGATTTCTGTTCAAACAATTTAGATTCTTTTTCCTTTTTTCTATGAACGCGCCTTACATTGCTGCCTATTAATCGAACGAACTTACGTTGAACAAAGTTTGATAGCGGCACAGATGATGTCAGGATCCACCGATTCAGCGATCATTCGGAAGATTACCATACCGTCAATTTCCACCATTCGGTGGCAATCTTCTTGGTATTGGATTGGAACATAGTCGCAAACTTTTTCGATTACTTCTATAATCTTCTCGTCATTATCCTCGTTCTTGACCTCCATTGAAATGAAGTTCACAATTTTTTGGCAGTAATCGCAGTTCGTAGCTGTTGGTCGTATCGTGATTTTTGTCGGACAAACCTTAAGAGTTCGACAGACGACTTCGAGATCAGTGTTCTCCAGAATCACTCTAATTAACAGGTGAGTGTACCTGTCGACAAGATCTGTGCATTCCTTCCCATCCACAGACAGAGCTGCGCAGATCTGATCAAGACCACTCTTTATTTCGGCTTCGGCATTACTGCTATTGAGTCTGTCGCGGAGCTCGTGAACGTAGTACTTGCAAAGCTGGCATGGTGGTTCAACCCTGCTCGACAGGACGGCCTTCTTGGGGCATTTTCCAAGCGTTTCACAGATATGTTCGGGGTCAACGTATTGTACGAGCATTTTCACGATCATATCAACGTAGCTATTAGCCATTTCTTTGCATTCGGTCGAATCATTTAGCAGATCACAAGCTTTGTCCAACTCCTCCTTGATTATGGCCTGCAGTGTGCGTCCGATGACACAAGTCAAAGGAATAATATTTGAATGATTGCGAAGTCTTCTCTATAGTTAAGCAAAACTAGATATTTAAAAAAAAATCCCACAAGCGCATGTGCTAAAAATGTCTCTCCCACTAATATAACTATGATCCACCGCGATGACAGCTTCAACTGGAACCTAAACCACTCACTGATCAGTCTTCAAAATATTCCTTCAACCGTACAGCTAGCAGTACGCAATAGGTGTAAATAAACTTGAAAGATGAATATACAGATTTCGCATTAGCTTCTAAATTGATTCACACGATAATCGGCCAGATTAAGATTTGTTAGCTTTTCTAGTTAAATGTAAATGTCGCTTAAATTCGATGTATACAATAAAATTAAGCGAAATTACGTTTTGCACGACAGCAAACTAAACATTTACAACACCAAAACGATACAAAAACGTTAAAAAATCAGGAAAGGATAATGTGAATTGAAACTTATCTGAACGATCCAATTGGTAGGTGATAAGTTAAAAATTAATTTTTTCTATCAAAAATTGTTTTCGAACAATTTTGACACATTTTCAAGCTATCTTAGTCTAAAACCTATTCAGAATTTTCCGGTTTGCCTCATTGAAGTTTCGCAAGCCGCATAAAAACTAGCAATAACGTGAATCGCCAAAATTCTCAATTTTCGTAGGGGGTTCGTACAGCGCGATAATATTAGACAATAAACCTTTACTCAATTTCGAAAAACAACATGCCGTCGTTTACCATAACAGGTTTGTCGTTTTGTTCAAAAAGAACTCGTACGAACACTTTTCCCCGACACCACCATGTCTATATGTGTTAATGCGTCTATTTATTTAGTACAAGGTGCGCATATAATATTTAGGTGACGCTGAAACTCTTCGCTTAGGTACAACACCGCTAATGAAATAAACGTGAAACGTACTTCTGTATGATTTTCTTTGAGTTTGTCGTCTACCCAGGTAATGAGCCACTTGCAGAATGAACACTTCTCGTCTGGCCGCTGAAGAGGAGCTGCCGAAATACTGGCGATGTTCTTCACCGGTTGAAGAGCTTTAGGGCACTGACGGACCTCCTCACAGATTTTGCGAGGTGGTGCATTTTGTACTAGAAGAGTGATGGTCATATCGACAAACTGTTTGACGATGAATCTGCATTCCGAAACGTTCTGGGGTGACAAAAGGTCGCAGGACTGCAAAACAAGTCAATTTCATATCGGTCTGTACGTAAATATCACAGGTACATTATTTTATACGTAAACCTAGTGAAAAATACACACCTAGTGAAGTTAAAGGACAATATTTAGATGTAAACGCAATTTGTCTAAATATAATACAGCTCCATATTACTGTTATTATTACTGCTAGATGAGAGAAGACCTATCGCACGATGATAAATGATCGTCGCGATCTACGTAAGCGTCCTTTCACTTGACGCCCGCCAATTATATAAATCGAATAAATATATGTCCTTTATGGGATGCGCAATTTGGAAAATTACCTTGTCCAGCACCTCAAGTATCTCAGATTCAGTTTGATTGTTTCCGAGCTGGTCCTCGACAAGGTTTAAGATGAATATACAGATTTCGCATTTGATGTTGATAGCTTCTAAATTGATTCACACGAAAATCGGCCAGATTAAGATTTGTTAGCTTTTCTAGTTAAATGTAAAGCCTGATGGTGATATGGAAATGTTTAACGATGCAAGCTTGTGAGAAAAACAATCAAGCTGATCTGCGGTGGTAAGCCTAGTGTCAAAGTTAAGCCCGCAACTTGACTTAATATATAGTTACTGACTGTCCACTCGACTTGTTGTCCTCCCTTCGCATTGGTAAAACAGTGATGTGGCAAATTACGTAAACTTATAGATAATCTGCCTCGAATAACTGGTCGTGATTTCGGCAATGACACTCAAATTGAGACAATTTTGAGATCGTAACAACCTGAAAAAATAAGAAGCTTAAGCAGTCGGTTCTGAATATGTTACCAAAGCAAACAGAAAACAGCAAACAAATAGTTACAATTTTATCCCTTTTCACCATAATAGTTCGCTAATCGAAATCACACTTCAACAAGTAAGCCAAAAACTCTATCAGTAACGGCATCCTGACGAGTATCACAGTCGTTATCATCTTTATCAGGATGAGTTGTCCCATCGCGTTCTGTTAACGCAGCCGCTTATCAACACCGAACACCGTGCTAATCTATATGGCCATTACTAATGTAAACACTAGCTAGCAGCAACGCTCCCTAGAAGTTGTCCTGCTTGTCATGTAATACATAGGAACGAATATGCCTTCACTTCCTTATACGGGCTTACATGGGCACGTATCGATATGCAAACGGCCCACTTGAATGCAGACAACATTGCCGCCGATTGAGTACGTGACCGCCACGCAAGCCAGCTATGCACTGAACACCTGTGACCAAATACACGGAGCTCCATTTCGGTTGGAGCCATGCGAATCGGCAAACGAGGAAGGAGTCGCTTCTCGGCGCTACCGAACCCGTCCGTTCCCTTGGCTCTCTTGGAAACAGGACTTACTTGACCCGTTCGCTCTTCCCCAATACCAGCTCAGAACTACTCCTACGGTAGGCAGTATAACACGTTCCGTTGTTTGGTGAGCAACTCAGCAAGCGGTAGAAACGTACAAATTTTATATAATATTATGTACGTTTACATTACGCTCGTAGGATCACATTTACATTGATTTACGCCGCGTGATTCTCGTTCAGCGGCTTGGGCAAAAGGGCCCATTTGCATTTCCCATAAACCGCCAATATCGATAGACGTGCACAACTCACATCTATTACGTGACTTATATTTACTATAACAGTAGTATATATACGCTTATCATTCGTTGTGCGTTAGATAAAAACTTTGTTATAGCCCGCCGTATCCATGGAAAAAGTGTAGGATTTTTTTATAGGGTCATCATAAATCAAAGTTGTCCGTGTCTATGGATGACGAATTAAGGAAGACCTGTGCTAATCAAGTGTAGCTATTAATTAAATTCTTCAGCTCGATTCTATACAACAATAATAATAATAATAATAATAACAATAAAGGGTAACAATTATCACAAAAGTAACCTAAGTGGAGCTATCTAAGTCCTGTAAAAGAATATACGTGATAGCTTTGAAAGCTTAATTGTACGATAAGCGATAATATTTTAAGGTAGAGAAAAAGGGTGGAGAGGTACTCACGTCTGGGGCAAAATGTCAGTGCTTGACAGATTTCCTTCGAGCTAATTAAGTTCTCGATCATCTGGATGATGTAGCTGGTGTAAACATCGATCATAGTACGACACGTAGCTTGCTCATCAGTTGACAAAGCGGAACAGACCTTGTTAAGGAAGATTTCGATCTCATGTTGACTGTTATTATTTCTCAATCCAAATTCGATGATGTTGACCATAATTTGGCACATTGAGCATTTTTGGCCTGCAATTACGTTTTTAAAATGGCCATTCTATATATTATAGTTATAAATCTTTAAAATAAAACCTGTAAGTTAAGCACGTTATTTCTATGCCATACGAAAAATTTCTAAAATCAAGGTACTCGTTACGTTTATGTCTAAAAGTTAATATTTCTATGGGAAATGTTTGCCTATTGTAGCGTGCAACAAGTAGTCTTTTTTTTCAAGTCAAGATTTTTTTAATTCGGTCTAAAGCCCCCCGAAGACAACAAAAGGTACACTGATCGTGGAAATACGTCGAAGTCCTATGGGGTGAAAATTAACGACATGCATAACAGCCGAGCCAGCTGATGCACCTAGCAGATATCCGTATCACGCTGACATATCATGGAGAAGAAGCTGCCAGTCAAATCATTACTTCCATGTATAAATAAACGGTGTAAATTGTACGTCCGCTACTGCCGTTAGGCGTCTCCTCAGATGACTTGATCGTAATACGAACAAAGTGTTTATGCGCGGTTTCGAACCCAGACCACCAGTGTTTCAGTGAATAAACACCTTATCATTGCACGCTCACGAAAATATCTCATACGTACTTCTATGCTTCGCTAGGAGATCATTTTGTCGTTCTGCTCATAATTAGCCTAAATTCAAGTGACACTTGAAGACTACTCTTTGCTGGCAGCAAAAAAAGAAAGACACTATTGCAGGTACAGCGTTACAGGTAATAACAAACTAGTCTATTCTATGCAAAGTATTTGGTTTTAGTGAATCACACTGTACTAGAGACAATCTCTCCCAGGGTCTCAGGACGACAACAGACTCAGATTATATTTGAAAACAGTGTAAACGGCCTTATGAATAAATGGCTATAGAACTGTTGATTATTTCCAAGCAAATTCAAATTCATAAAATGCCAGCGGGATCTCCAAAGTTAAGCTCCTTAACCCAATAGGACGGTTGAACCGTGAGTAGTTGAAAATAATTTATATTAAATGAGGGAATAGCTCGAATAGATGACTGTATATATCAGTAGGGACAAGGACAAACTAACGCCATTTCCTCTATTTTACATTTTCTAATGAGTCCAAATGCTCATCATTCATTGACGGTGACGCACAGCGGCGTGAAGCCATTGTCATAAGCCTGGTTTTGAAAAATACATCACCTAGTACTTTACGTCGTAGGTTTGGGTGATATCTATGATAAGTTTCAACTGAAATCACAAGAGATTAAAAATACTTTTCACCGGTCAGTGCTGCATATAAGAGTTGTTCGAAGCTTGTGTGGTATAGCAATGTATGTAAATCCAATGACATCGCCGGAACCAAAGCTCACATACATTTATAGGTTGTGATTTACTGGATTAGCCTTAAATAAGGTCAAGAGTTAACTGGATCTTTCTTAATGTGTACATCGTACGTTGCATCACCATTTAAAATTGCAATCCTAATAAAGCACGCAAGTCTTGGCTAATCTGGGCAAGACGTTCAATCAACCTAGACTGCCGAACTGCGAACGATCGTTGGAAAGGCAACAGCATATATTGGAATGACTAATGGCATATACTATAAGATGAAAAATAGAACGACGTTTTGACGGGCCTGCGAATCGTCGTGTCCAAAACACGAGTCGAAATACGCATGAGCAACATCGAAATAGCTCATCTACCATTTCACGGCCTTCGAAGGCCGAAGACCACGAGAATTTCTATGCAACATCCGAAGCATACACGGAAACACATTCAAGTTATTTACGATAACGACGAGTTTCAGGGAAAAATAATTATTTTTCAACGTTCGTGCTACACTCGAACCAGATTCAGTCCTATATTCCCAATAGAAATGCAGCCCACAAGCATTCTAGCATCAACCAACGATTATTCGCACGCAGTATCTATGCATTCTACTTAAAGTTACTAAAAGACATGCAAGTTTATCAGGTGTCGGTTACTACACATGAAACTATGATCATATATATTGGCAAACATTATTATGAACACAAAAATACGAATAGGCACGACTAAGTTATGCTGAAAACCGCAAAACGTCATGCTTAATTAACGTAGACGGGACGCCACACGTTTTCAACTTATAGTTGCTATTGTCGCCGCGATAATGAGCACTTCCGCCTGCGTTCATCGACTAGCCGATGGGCAGTGATAGATGTGGACACATTTGTTGTTAGGTAAAAAGAAACGTTTTTTGTCATTATAGCTACGTATTGGTTGATTGACTGATCACGCAGAGGTGTAAGGAGACTATTCTCCTTGACGCATCAATCACGCACTGTTATCGAGGGGCCGCCCCATCAAGGACGAGGTCAAGCGAGGTGTGATCGTTTTGTGCGCTTCCTGCAAGTCCAGGTCCTGGCCAATATGTTTCAGGAGCTGGTCTCCGTACGTAGAAATAAAATAGCGACACTGACCAGCACTGTCAGTACTAAAAGAACTGCAGACGTTCTTCATGGCTGCGAGAATGGCTTGCTCAGTCTTGTTGTTCTAAACGAGCGGAACAAATAGAGTAGAGGGCGAAGGTTAAGACGGATAATAGGAGGCCATTTAGCTATTATTTAGAATCATCGGAAGCTAGCTTATAGCAGACACTTGTAGTATATGCCGATATTAATTAAGTATAAGGCACACTTCACACACTCATTTCATTTTGCAATATTTCTATTCATATGTCATTACAAGTTGATGTTCTCTATCGAAGTTATCCGGTAGGATCTTCATTAAATGACTTCACATTGACTGCAATAAAACACATCGTGTCGAAAACTTTCATTAGTATATTTAAGCGGTTAGCTTCACTATCACCTCAATCTGAGCCAGGACCATGGTGATGACGCTTGTATAGAGAGAGTGGTCGATGCGTACGGGAGGTCGCGCCTCTTCACAAAGACCGACTAACCAGCAGGTCTCCGAGTAGGTAGTATCTTGCTTTAAAAGCTGGAAGATCATGTCTCGGTACGCGTCAATGAAATTCTGGCACTGTAAACGCTGAGGTAAAAGCTCATGGCAGATTTCCAACTTGTTAATTGCGATTTCGTTGATGAGTCTATTGAGGATAATGTCACAGTGCATGCATGAAGGTTTGAAGACCAGTTGTTTTGGCGCAACGGTGAGCGTTTGACGAGGTTGATTGCAAAGTCCAATAACGTAACAGATTTGAACCGGTGTCACCTTTTCACGGAGCAGCTGGAAAATCAGGAAACTGTAAGTGTCGACGATGTTCTGGCAAGCTTTCTTGTCTACAGGGACAACTTTGCAGACTTGTTCCAACGCCTTAATAATAAAGGCCTCGGTTGTGTTGATAAGCGACTGTTTGACCAGCCAATCAGCGACCACTTCACAGACGTCGCAGTCGTTGTCATCAGTTAACTGGCGCTGTTGACGCAAAAACGAATGAAACGTTCTCCCATTATTAATGATAGTCATTTGCAGACCAAGTTCTTTTGCGTAGCATATACTGCGATTAAATCGAATTTAACTCCTTCCAACAATATATACTTGTCCATATGATTATCCTTTTCGTTCCTGACATATTTCATCAAATAGTAACTATTATATGACGTAAGTCTCGGTGCACTTTGCGCGTAACAACGCAGGCAAACGGCTGACGTCAGCTGAAGGGACCCACATAGAACTAAATGCGTAGCATTGAGGAAATTTTCTGCTGTTAATAATCAAAACAACAACAAAGGACATTCAACCTTCGCGGCAGTAGATCGAGATTCGCAGATATCGAGCGTAGAACAGATCTCACTAGCTGGCAGATCTTGTTGGATCAGATGGACTAGCGTGCGACTGGACATAATGACGCATTTCGCACTTTTGGTCCTATTATTCGAGATGGCAGAACAGGCTTCCGTTAGGGCCTGGACGATGGTAACTTCCGTCTTGTTGTTCTACGAATAATAACGTTTTTGAAGATTTTGTTAGATAGACTTGTTAGATAACATAATTTTTTATAATCGTTAACTTCAAATAACTTGGAGAAATATGCTATATGCAAGCCCTGACACCATCGAGAAGTCGGTTAGCATTCAGTGAGCAAAGCTAACACATTTATAATACCTTAAAAAATTTTCCAATGTGTGGTCAGCGGAGATATTATTCTTAAGTTAACTAAGCTGCAAGCGTTAACTAAAACCTGTTACTCTATGACTATCATTCATGACTTGTCGAGCACAGATAGGTTGGCGCCATAGGCTTTACTGATCCGGATTACTATTTACCGTGACCAACAAATCATCAGTGACGTATTGAGTTAAAAATCACCTGTTATTAAATTGTATTTTCTTTCGAAAACGTGTCGAGACGTGAACAAATCTGTTTCTATTAGTGGATCTAGAGGATAAGCCGGTTTCGCAAAAAACATAATCTTTTTTCATAAATTACGCATTCTAACTTTCCTATGGGACTGCTCGTTCTAAACAGAAGGACTTTCGTATTTTGTGATATCAATGAGCATTTATATACGCAAACTAACAAACAGAACATTTCAGTGTAACCTGAATTCATCTACGAGGCAGATAGCGACTGCTGTGCAATAGACCCGGTCGTTGCGGCCGCTAGTTTTGGGACGTCGGCGTCAAGTCTGTATGTGGCACTAAGCCATATAGACCTTCTGTGTGTAAGCAGATGTGGCCGAGGACTAGCCTACTTCCTCATAGGCCACGATAACGTTCTTGTGCCTCATGGTGGCTTCGGTTTTATTGCGCAATGCATTACAAAAAATAGGTAAGATGACAGCAGTTTCTCACTCGCTAATAGTTCAACCTTCTCACATTATATTGTCAGGCAATCTTAATAATCCAGGTTTTACAGTACATATATGTACATACCTTGATGAAATGTTAGGATAAATCGGTCAAAGTTGGTATATTTCTTGCTCATTTTTGTTAATATGAGACCGGGTACTCGGTCAACGAGATTAGATAAAATTAGGTAATCAAAGATATAAAATATAAATTAAATATGATTTTCGATATCTGAACTTGGGGTCACATCGAACAGTCTAAACGTCTCGAATAGTAGCCTAAATCATCTGTGCTCTACAAGACCCGAATCAGAGGGTGTGTTACGCCGACACGCATACGATTTTAAGCTGTCTAGCAGCACATTTAGATGATGCGTTTGATTTTATAGGAAAAGCTTGTACGTGTTATTATTGCAAATGATTTGTGTGCCCGGCTGCAGCATAAACATGTCACTAGAGAAATGAAAACGTCACGTGGTCTTTACGTCGATATTTTATCGATATTAGAAAATAGGCAGCTGTTCAAGAAGCGATAGATCAGAGCGTTTCGGATCACAGAAAAGCATAAATATTCATCGGTACACCTTAATATTGTTGAGAACAGTATGATAGATCGCACCTTTATGCTGCCGAGATGCAGGAACGAAGAGCATATTTTCTTGAACGTAATAGATTAGCGATTCTTCGTAAACGAAACTATTGGATTGCATTACTATTATTATACTATATTATATTATAAATAGGCCTTAAAGCTCTTTAGGCAAGGACAGACTGAAGGACATAGCATCAGCTCGTCCACAGACCACGAAGCTGCGGGGGCGCAGAGGACACATATTTGGCTTCTGTGGAACTACACAAGCTTAAGTACCGGCAGATTTCGTCAGGTTCTGCTCAGCGTAGTTGGTTAAATAAGATGATTGCATTGTTAGTGCCGATGGGAGGTTCTGTGCGGGCTTTGTTAAGCACTGCGACATCATCCGATGTCACTGGCAGAGAAACATTGCAATACCAAGTCTATTTTGTTCTATTGTTTCTTATTTTTTTCTAGTCGGCCATTTCTTCTTTACCATAAGCAGTATTAGTCGAACACGTATGTTAATATGTTTATATAATTTTTGAAAAAGCTGCGTTTCAACCCCTTCACATCATCAAATGTGCACACCTTAACCTCATCGATAATCCATGTCGCGGCTAGTTTGCAGAGCTCACAATGTTTGTCCTGTGGTTGACGGGCTACGCAGCAAAGCAGCGATTTGCAGACTTGCTCGGAGGTAACGTTTTGTCTGATCAGGTTATAGATTATTTCTCCGTAAGTATCGACGACGTTCTGACACTCCGCGCGGTCCTTCCCAGGAAGAATCGAGCACAGCCTTTCATAGCCCGCAAGAATCTCGGTTTTGGACTTCATACTCCTGATCTTAGCGAGAACCCATTCGGAAATGCCAGCGCACAGGATGCAACCCTGACCTGCAACTCTGACACAGTTTCTGGTCTTTGCGAATGTTGTTTGTCTCGGTTGGTCGCATACGTGCAAACCCTTGCAGATGTGGTCAACCGTCACGTCTTTTCGGAGTTTTTTGTAGAGAGCTTCGATGTGCTCGTCAACAAACTCTTGGCACTTAGCAGGGTCCGCGGGAACAAGCAAACATATCTGTTGCAAGACTGCTTCAATATTGTCCTTCGCATCGTCGTTCTAGTAGAGGAATTCGATACGCATCAAGGCTTTCCGTAAGCAGCGTACTTTAACACATCAACAACACCCATCTTATCCGCTCTTGCGGTGACATTATCATTAATGGCACAGATGTAAATAACTGATACAATAGCTGGCTCACATAAAGATTTCCTTATCACTACGTACTTTATAAACACTTTAGATTGGTCACACAGGGTGGCGAGCCCGATCAGCGAGAAGTGACAAGATGAATTATAATTTCGTTCGTATAATCACTTACGTTCAGAGCCCGGACAAGGTACCTGGCGACAAGTTGACACATTTCACAGATTTCATGTCCGATCTCAGCAGGTTTCTCTGCTGTGCGCATTACTGCAAAAACGTATTAACGATTTACATTGGCGATAGTATTAGGTATGCCCATTTGTGCTGTTAGTGAACGCTCCAGATGTTCAAACAGGCAAAAAATGATTGGGTTAATACCGAAAAATGCAGTTAGTACTTTGAAAACAAAGGATGTATAGTAAAAAGAACGGTTACGCCCAAACAACGATAGATGCGAAAAGGTAAAAAGAAATAGACAAAAACGACGCAACGCAAGGTCACTGAAGGATACTACCAAAGCTTGTCTGCCGTAAGTATTTATCTAACACTGAAATGCATTAGTAGAAGCCATCTCTGTCATTCGCACCAGCTCACCGGCAGCGTCAATATCAATTTGTTGTTTATTTCTTATCTCATCGCGGAAGAGACCAAACATACCACGATTCTGGGTAAGCTCTGTACAGAACTTGATCTCCGTACAGACTTTATGGGGGTCCATCGCGTTAACGAGTAAATGCATAATTAAGCTTCCGTAGGCCGCAACCATGTTCCGGCACTCGTTGCGCTGGTTATCAGGAAACCATGAAGAGTCGCACACTTCATTAATCAAAGCGATGATATCATTCTGAAGAGCACATTAATCGACAAGTCAATACAACTTAGAGAATCGCTAATTCAACGAATTGTCTGAGTAGCTCATGCTCAGGGCAAAGCGCACTGAATAGTTCTTTAAATCATAGATTTCTGTGCAATTCTGAAGGCGCGCTTCGTGACTCAAAAACGGATCTAGTGCAGAAAGACGCCATATGAAGACGATCGAGGAATTTTTTAAAGAACACCTTACAAAAATCATCGATCTTCTCTATTTTGTTGTTGGAATCGCAATCGTTGTTTAACCGCGACACTCGTACGCACCTCAGTTGTCGTTGCGTTCAGCATAGTTGCTACCCACGAAACAACGAGCTCGCATGTAGTGCAGACGCTGTTCAGGGACGGGTCTTGGTCCCGACTAACGACGTCATTCAGACTGATTTTAATGGGTTTGCGATTATCTGTGAAGTTTAAAAACACGCTTGTAGCATTGGGGCAAATCTCGAGAAGCTTACACACCCCACCAGCTGTTGTCACGTTGTGATGTTCGATAAGGTCCAAAATTTGTGGAGCGTACGTATCCTTGAAACGCTTGCACGGAACGAGAATTTGCGGATACTTGTTGCATACTTCATCGAGAGCGAATTTAATTACAACCTAAACAAAGATGTACTAAATTACCGACTATTTTTTTAACGGTGCCGTTTGGACCTATTGGACCGTTCGATATCGCCTTCATTCGCTGGTTATTGTCGCCAACCACGACAGGATCAAGATCAACAAGCCTTGCTAAAAAAGGCCTTTATGCTGAACAGTCAAATCATTTCGAGGTGTTATTGATGCTTACTCTGTGTCTTCGTCCGTTGGCGAACAGGAACACCCATTCCATAGCTGTCATACATACAGTACAGTTCTGAGATGGTTCCTGGAGGCTTGCTGCTTCCAAGCGTTGCAACGCATCGATTAAGTGAGTTTGCGGGAGCCGCAGCTGATCCTGGCTACGTAGTTCATTAACGTTGGCCTCCTCAATGATGGCTTTTACGTCTCGGAGTACGTACATATCAATAAGGTTGAAGCATTTTCGGCGCAACTGCAAATTCACTATCAGTCCGCGCACCCCTTCCATAGCATACTCTACAAATCCCACGGTTTTGTTCTCAGGAAGAAGCGCTCGGATGTCTCGTAGCAGGAAACGACAAACTTGACATTCGAGCTCTTTGACATCTATGGTGTTGACAGGAACAGAGAGCTGCTTTAAAACAGGAACAATTGACAGCTTCTTTTTTGCACAACACAATGCATGAAAATCTTTCAAGAGAGGTGTTGTCTAGTTAACATGGTTTTCGTAATGTTTAAAGCATACAACCGATCGTATCATAATATCATGCAACCCATATCCGGACGAGGAGTAGGGGGTCTGTTGTTGCACCAGAAAAGGCGCGTTCCGCAGATCCATTCGGAGTCCAACTTGGGCTCATGATCATGAATCAGTAAGGGGAAGATAGTCGCAACAAAAATCCATGCATGTGAATTGGCCAAACGGAAGAAATACACACAGGTCTTCAGCGAAGGCTTTCACCTTGACCTGAATTATTAAATGAGCTCTGTGTTAATTTTTTTTCAAAACTAAAAATAATCAGTAATCTTATTCGAAAATTGGATCAAGTTTTTTTTTTATGCCCCTCTTGTTTCTTTCTTTAAATGAAGTGATTTCTTTCTTTGCAAGTATTCTACTTATTTAGGTTCGATGAAAGCCGACAAACGCAGAATTCTAGATTTGAATTTCTAATTCTGCTTTCGACTGCACGCTTACTTCAGTTTGATCTGTTTATCCGGTTATTGCTGTGCTCTCTATGCGACCTATATAAGCCATGTGATCGAACTTCTATTTATGGACATTTCGTGTCGACACGGTACTTCGTTGAAGTTTGAATACAGGAACGGGAGTGTGCTACGTCGTCAAGTACATCAGACACTTCAATCGAAGTGCTTTTGTAGACGAGTTATCTAAGGAAATCGATGAACACAGCGCAAGTTACGCAAGCAAACTGATTTGCCACGGTTCCGAAGAGAATGTGGCACGCATCATCTTAAAGCTAGATCAATTAATCTCTCAAGCTTTGTTCGAGCTCAGTCTCTTCACGTCGTGACGTCCTCGAAATAAGAGTAAAATATGTGCATAGTTATGGTTAATTCGTGTCCACGTCGTTTCCTTACGTATCCCTTGCGTTTTTTTTTTACGGTAGTAGTAGTAGTAGTAGTAGTAGGGTACAGTAGAATTGAGTTCGGGCAGACGCAGTCGACGGAACATACCGGCAGATTTCTGTCAACAAAATGCGTGCCATTTTCTCTATTCGCGGGTGCAACAAAGCTTAAATCGTACAACAGAATCTCCAAAAAGCCCTTTAACATTATGCCATGCATGTAAGTTTTCACGCAGTGTTTCGAATGTGGGATTTATTGGGTGTTCTGTATTCACATACGATGCTAACGTGCAGTTACACAGACCTGTTCTCTGTTATATTGCTATTAGATACGGTGAAGATGTAATAGACAGCTTGCGAAACAAAAAATTAAAGGATAAGTTTGCCCAGTGCCACGGTGTCACCCGGGAAGGTGGCGTTCGCAATATACGTGCAGGCGCTGCATGCGGCACCCTCTATGCTCATCTCTGTAAATGCATCTGGGTGTCACTGATATCATATACCAATGCGTATTCCATGCAACTTCGATCAAATAACAGAACACTAATGGATGCTGCTTAGCAGAAGAAGTGGATCTGCCGGCTGGACCAGTTTGAAATGAAGACGACAAAAACAGGGTCAAATCAAGTGGCGCGGTATTAGTCTCCAATAATGCATATTAGATGAACAGGGAATGCAGAGAGAGGTAAGTTTATCAAGAGACACAAGACTCCTCGATGGAAGCTTTATAGTAACAGCATTGCCTAGCATAAATATTAGTTTAAGCCAAGAACGGGCCCTTAAATGCTTCATATTAGGCTCTTAGGGGGTATCCGTACTGCAGCATCAGTTGAAAGCTGTTCCATTCGAATGAAATGGCAGGTAAAGGATTAGACGTCGTTATCAAGTCTGTAACTCAGCTGATAATGGCGGGGTGTTAAAAGGGGAAATAACGAGAAATTTAAATAAAAACTAAAAGCGGATAATAATTTTAGTAAAAAGTTGTCCTCGATATTGTTTGCCGTCTCCGTAAGTGCAGCCAAACCGCTAATAGAGTATAATGGCTCTCGCATGTCACGTACTGTTTTGTCGGCTTATCGCAGAAGTTAGTCGAGCCATCGGCAGTGAATCGGTCGTTGCAGTGACCTCGAACTTCGCGGAAGCCGAACACAGACCTAGAAGCCTGCAAACCACAGGAGAATTCTGAGAAAGAAATGCAATCATTTTAGTTCCTTATTCTGCATTCATTGTTCTGCTAGAAAATTCAATTTTCATAGCAAACGAATGTATTTCGTTCGCTACTATTCACTTAATAACTTCGTAGACATACCTAACACTTAGTAAATATAACTAAAACAATACAAATAGAACGCAAACTAATTTACCAGAAAATTGAGCAGTCCATCGTAAGCTACGTCGAAGTTCTTCGTCACTTGATCTAAACACTGCAAACAAATGAAGGTGGGTTATCATATGCGATCTGATACGATGTACATTAGTCGTAATGCCACAATGTGCCCGATGAGCCCGCCTCCCTCGGTGGCCTCGACGTCCTTGCCACCAGAATTTTTGATCTTTTTCAGATAATTACAATCCAGCGAGTTATAGCTAGATGTTGAAAGCAGAAGCATACCGCAAATGGCCGTTAGTGCCTCCCGGCCACCGCTCTATCGATGCGAGATCCTTAACTGCACTCAAGGCGCAGGTTCTCGTTAACGATATTCTAGCCCAGCCTCCCTTTAAGCCTATCACATCACCCCACTTGGACGGTTCGTGACAGTATTTAGCGGCGCAGAACGCCATCTGGGTGCCCCATTACGATAACGGCCTAGCAATATTTGACAAGTACATAAAGACGATAACGAACCATGTCCTGAACATCCCTCAGTTTTTTAGTTTGCAGAAATTTCTTCGTCTTTTTAAAAGCCAACCTGCAACTTGGATGCTCGCGGCATCAAAACGGGCCATTTGGAGGGCCGACCAGGCTGGCGAGTAAAGGAGACATAGGACAGAATTTACGTGACGATATCTAACTCTCGGAATAAACGTTTACTGCAGACAAAGCGTATACAAAAAGTTTTCGTCATATAGCCTTCTGCTATGATTATTAGATTAGGGAACGTTACAGGAACGAAAACTCGGTTATGATCACTCAGAGCGAGCCAAATTTACACTTAAACAGCCAATTTATACTTAAAGCTCAATACGTAGCAGTCACATGACGCGATTTTAATTAGACATATGTGTGATTATTAGAACGTATTTTTATCTACTTCAAAACCCAAGTATGACCGTTTCAATGCTTAAGCGATTCCGAAATACTCTCCGCTTGATGCTGTTGCTGCAGCAGTATTTTTAGGCAGCTTTCAACTAGAAACAGACACCCCATTAATGATATGAGTGTGTCTGAGAGGCCCTACACGCTGGCGAAACAAACACGTAACACACTGCGCGTAAGCAAATTGCCGGATACGTAAAACCTCTCGTCTACGTATATATCAACATTGTACTCCTATTTCGTTCTAATAGCATTGGATAATACTGGTAGTAATATTCGCTTGGCGTTTAAACAGCTATCGTTTTTGTAGTCATTTCAGCAGCTTTGTTTCACGGAACGGCACTGAACGGCTTGAATGATGACCTATTCGTAAACCAAGATACAGATAGTCGCTAATATGATTATCCATTATCGTTGATCAGCGAACGCTTCTTACCTCCTTGGCCAAGGAACCGATGTCCCTGCAGATGCCTTCAAGGACAGCTTTAACTTGCAGCTTGGTAGTAGTATTATTAAACTGAACAATTAGCTGATGCAGCATTGCTTCACAAAACTCGCATTGAACATCTCCGTACGGTCTAAGGTTGACAAAGTTCGACGTCGGCAACATATCTCCCGGGCATTGCTCGAGGGCTTGACATGAACGTTCCGGAGTCTTTAGCAGAGAAACCAATACGTTTTTATCCACTAGGAAATATTGCTTCTGGTGCGATGATCAGTTCTGAGTACACGGTCTAAAGTCATTTTTCTCACGGCAAGGGTTGCCTCGAATCTACATCTAGCAAAAAGCTACCATGACTACACTGGTATATTTTGTAAATAACTGATTTTAGAGGTGCGAGAGGACAACTTTAGGTCGATGTTACTCACATCCTTCTTGACGGCTTCGAATAATTTGTCAACATAAATCTGCGCAAACTGTTCGCACTGAAAACGGTCAGAAACGTGTTATTCAGATTGTTTCTCGTTTAGTAGTTTTTGAGCGAAAAAGGTGAACCTAGGTGATAGGTTGCTAGCTACGTTACGGCAACCGCAATCCAACGTACTTGGACGCCTATTCGCTAGAAAATTTCATGTCAGTAAAATGGCGGTTCGACAAAACGTCAGTATTTTTCATTCGTTTAAATCGGGATCGTTTTAGTCGCTTGGATACCTGTTGCTTTCTGTTTCCAGATTCGACTTCGCAAATCTTCATGAAGCCATCAACGACCTTATCCTGCCAGAATAGAAGAATTACATTTTAATATTAGCTATCTTCGTTCGCTGTTACCCCGGTTTCGACAAAACACATTTAATGCATACCCTTATTAGAGCGTAACCTGTTACGGCTTCATGTGTCGGATAGTAGTATTTGCATTGCACTATAGAAATTTACGAATGTTACGGGCTCATAGAAGCGTAGCAAAGCCCCTTTTTAAAACATAAGCTGCACTCTTACCTTCATCCGGCACGTACAGGTAAAAATGTCTGCCTACGACGGATAGCAACCTTTGGTAGTTTAATAGGCCTATTTAGGGCTACCTGCAGTGAAGAAACTTTAAACAGTGGCACGGAGATATATCGCAGAAATAACAGCTGAGAGTCGACTATGAACACAGGCAACAGGGTGCGTACATAAGCTTTGAAATAATCCGAAAAGTCAAAAAGAAGCAACCGATTCCTGTAGAAACAAAAATCTATTTAAACGATCCATTGTACGTATTCTCCTATGAAAATCTACTGTTTACTATTTATTGCATTTTTATATAAACGGCATCAGGGAGATCGAAGCTTTGCGCGGTCTCGATGTCGTACACAGCAGATTTTTCTGTGAATTTCGATGATGTCTACAATTATCACGAGAAAAGAATATGGACTCTGATAGAGAATTATCTGACGTAAAGTTGCTCTAGTTAAAGCGCGATGTCTGCCTACAGACACGTTCTAAGAGGCATCCCGTGGTGCGCGCCGTTCTTGTCATCGTTATTGTTGTTGCTGCTGTTATCGTAGCGGTTGCTTGAACCCTATTGGTTAATAACGAAGAAGAGGATTGAAAAGCTGTGGGATCTGTTCACGAACTAAAAATAGGCTTCCGTCTGTCTTACTTTGATGCAAAGTGACAGACCGGCCTCAACAACGTGGAAAGTGGTAAGCTGTCATTAAAAACGCTCTAAAAATGTGTGAAACGTCTTTGCAGGCCGTTTACCAAAGTTCTCCATCCCAAAGGCAAACCCTGGCGGTGGTTTCCATATCGCAGTGCAGACATTACCATACGAGCGAATAGCACAATACCCGTTTGTATATACTACCTATCAAAACATTTCTTTCTCGTAAGTACTACATATGTATACTGCGATCCGTTCCAGTAAGTATCATACCTGAGGAATTAATTCAGCGAAGGACACGGCTCGTCTGATGGTGTTTTTGCAAGCGTTGCACTTGGCCTCCTCATGTTCCTTGGAAAGCGTTACGTAGCTAACACGATCGAATAGCCCGGCTTTTTTGGTCGACGCCCAACAAAGACCGCAAATGCTACATACTTGGGTGGGATTCATCCTGGATACAAGCACGTCATTAAGCTCATCTACAAACAAATTCATCAGCTTTTTGCACAGGGTATTCAGAGGCGTGACGGGCAGAAAGATGTCACAAGATCCATCGACAACCTGCCTTATTTCAGACTGAGTCTCGTTGGTGAGAAGTTGATGTCTAGCTTGCTTAACCATTTTCTTGCACAATGCGCAGAGTTCAGTGTCATTTCCAACGGCCGAGGAATCGGTTAGTTCCCAACGTGGAACACAGCTCTATGACGCGTCACACGTGAATAGCGTACCGCAAACATCGCAAAAAGTCATTCGTTAATTTACGTCTTTTTACCTTGGCTTGTTGGCGTAAGTGGACGTATTCATTACACTGTGATCTCGAAATCACAAATATACCATATCAGTTTAGCTTCATACTCTGCTATGAAATCCCTAGTAATGTGAGCTTTTGCATTTTCTTCGTTTTTGTTTGTTGTGTCACTAAATAGATTTATTATACTGACCTTAGTCACTTTACATTGAATCGAGATCCATAAGTTGGCGCACGCGGTGTCGAGGGACCGGCATAGGGAATCCGACGCGTCTATGGCGGGAGACTGCACGGCGGAACCATCAGCTCTGGCTGCAAACAAAACGGACCGCAGTAACGCTTGTCACTCACGATACACAATGATAATTAGTTACGGTGAGCTAAAAATGTAAACGAAAGTTATGATCGGAAAAACGGGAACACAAATATCCAAGTACTACACGCATAATGATGGTCGATTAGACAAAGTAAGAAAGACGTTTTGTGATCTTTTGAATGTTCGTTTTGTATTCATATAAAGTATATGTGGATGCAATAGATATCGTGTTTATATATAGAAGAATCGAATCATCGCTTAAGTGGATAGAAAGTCTAAACTCTAAAAATAGCATATCGCCGATGGGCAGCCGAGATGCCTCGCGCGCTTGCAATGGGCAGTAAATCTGCTCGTGAAGAGCAACACCGCAGCATTAAATAAAGCAGAGGATAAGCAACCCCTCACAATTCTCGCTATGGATATGTAACCGTATAAAGAATTACGCTCCTTGTGTAAGACTATTTTCATCATTATCTCATACCGTATTATTATTTAATGGTCCGGCCATGGTCTTGTCATAACATAATTTTTTGGCCATATTGTGCGTATCCTATGTCAAAACCTTCCGTAGTGCGCCCAGCAGAGCGCGCCACGGCAAGCTTTCAACGGCGATATAACATTCGAATTATAATAGGTGAAATGGGAGATCGTTTCTGCAAACGAACGGTCTATTCGTCTAAGGCAGCGGATTGTTGAACAGAAACTACATCGACGATTGTCGCCATATTGTTTGTCTCCCATTGATCGAATGATTATCACGCAAGTGATGTCACACAAGTGATGACTAAGTAGGTACGTCGAGACGTTTCGTATCGGCCAGCTGAAACAGCCTCTTTAGTGGCAATTTTAAATGGCGCCACATTACCGACCTTTTTGCTTGAACTCATCGTTTCAAGCTCAGTCAGTGTGTCAGTGTCGATATGATCAATTGTTGCGTATATATTTGAAAAAATTCAGCTATTTCAAGTTCGCTGCTTGACCGTCATACATAATCACTTGATCATTGCTTCGAGCCCCGTCACGAACGATACGTAACTTCTACATGACATGACCAAGTAGAATGATTATTCCTCATAAAGGGCCAAAAATTATCCGTACGTTCCCTAGAGTTTGAAATTCGAAATGCAAATGGATGCAAACACAATGCCGACATCGGCTTCGACATGGCGGGAAAAAATGGCAGACAGCACGTACTAGAGAATCGTGGACGCCACTTACGGAAGTATGACTAGTACTACTTATATAGTTCGTGCCGGAAGAATGGCAAACACAACCGAGGTCGCATGCCACTGTCAAATACGCGACCAGTAAAGCTCCCCACTGTTCGTGTCTGGTACTGAGCGTTAAGCGGCACATTCCTCATTGCAACGCGAGTTACAGAAGAGCAAAATGTAGCAAAGGGTAGGATCGACTTGATACGGACTGCTTAGCTACACTGATTGAAAAGCAGGACACTATCCACGATTTCTCGATTTACGCATTTCTATTTGTCTCGCAAAAAGATTCCCTTGCTTTTTTATCTATATTGTTATTATGAGTATGGCACAAGAACACACGAATGCTGATAAATGGTGGGACGACACTATGAAACCTGACAAACCAAAAAAGTGCTTTCAGAACTGGACAAACAAACAAACAAACAAAAAGATCAGCTTAGCTAAGTATGCTAATTCTCATCATTATAAGTAAATCAGTTGAGGTAGCTAATAATATTGTAGGCGATCTTTCGCTGAAATGGGAAGAGCTTAGTAAAAAAGCACAGTAATGTTTTGCACGGGTTTGCGTACGACGACCGTGGTCCCATATACAGCACACATCTTAAAGGCAAAGATCTAGCTGGGACAATTATCTTGGGCCAACCATAAATTGTCTTTAACAAGCTGAAAATAGGACACCGACGTTCAGAACCGGATTCAGTTTGTCAGCTGGCAGTATATCAAAACACCGGTCACTAATGAAAGCAATAATCGTATTGATCTGAATAAAGCGAGGCGTGTTTAGACAACAATCAGACTTTGCCAGTTTCTTTCCAAAGCTATTCGATTGAGTTGGTCTATGACTGCGTCGTAGCGTAAAACCGCGTCGGCTTTGACGGCGGCGTAACACGTAGGATACTCAACGAAAACAGTTGCCGCCAAAGAAGAAAAACATATACGCGCAAATAATCTTTTCGCGGCTGCACATCAGTAACTTCGAGGTAATAACACATCGTCAATATAGGTCTCTGTCGAACGGTAGGATAAGCCTAATTTAAACTGCCTACGCGTCTGTGGCTGGACTATGGAATACGCAAATGAAATCAATCAAAGGCTACAGACGATAGCGTAAACAGTGTATTTCTCGAAAATTGTGTCGGCGTCTCAACGTTCTAAGACACTTAGCAAATAATAACTAGGACAGTGATAAAACTATAACTTCACCAATAAAATGGTCGATCCTTCAACTTTCTATCAATGTCGATCATGGGTCGTAACCGCACCATTAATGCACTTCTCTGTGAACCTATACGAATTCACATGAGCCAAAAGGCTTTCGTTATAAGTGTAACCGTTTTTGGTAACTGATTTAGGAAGATCTTATGTTTGCAATAAACATTTTACTAGCTAGACTGATGACTAGATAACGTCACCTGGTAACGGAAATTAAAGGAGAAGAGTGACTAATTTACCGTATTATAAGCTGCCGTAATTGACGTCTTTGATTGAAATTTACTAGCAAACTACAGACTATTTATTGGAAATCTATTTTCGATTCCAGACAGCGGTATATTAGCTCTCATCACTAACATCGCTGGCGCTGTCAAGGGGCACATTTCCACCGCTACTCAGCCTAGATTCGTTGTCCCAAATCAAAACGATCGAGTCCACAAAAATCAAGAGGGTATAAAAAAAAAATAAAATCCCGGATCTTGCAGGACTTTCTTAATAATGTTAATTTTGATTCAGTGAAAAGCTACAAAAAAGATTATCTCTCACACAATTGCTCGCCCAAAAAGCATAGAAGGTTCATAGGTCCGTTCCTTAGGCCGTTAAGCATGCTTTAGACGGCTGGCTACCAGTAATAAACAAGAAGTTCTTTCACCCGCTATCGAAACTAGACTACCACATATCCCCGACTTTAGTAGGTAGATAAAGAAGCAATACACACAAGCAATCGTTTGGTCCTTCCGAGCTTCCAGAATCTCACTTGAAATTGAGCTCTGCGTGCTCTTTTTTTGCACGTAATTAGGGAAAGCTCTAAATTTCTATTTGTCAACTAAGGGCGAATAGGTGGGTTTTGCTGCGAGATTTCCTTAATGGGGGTGCTTGTTTCTATTGACATTCGTAACCGAACAACGTAAATCTTATCCCAATTCAATACAGTTACTACACAGTTTACCACGAGAGTTTGTTTCGTTTGTCTACTGCGAAAGATCGCGCTGACAATTAATATCAGTGAGTCGAGTCACTCTCATTCAGCATAAATGCTAACGTAATCACGATGCTATCACTTGCATCGTCAGACCGATATGAATTAACCATTAGATATTTAGGTAGACTGTGATAGGCAGTGAAGGTTATACACAAAAGGCCTAGGTTTCAATCCCCTTAAAAAGAGAAGGTGTATCGTGGAGATCTGTTACGCTTGCTGGATCAGCCCAAACAGATTGTAAATGTTACCTATTAGTTTATATTACTTTAGAATTATTAATATCTTTCTTAATTCAAAATTCCAAAAACGTTTTCCAAACGAAAGATGGGTAGAACACCAAATTCCTGCTTGTTGTCGGGTGAAGTTATGCTTATCTTGCGGTAGCTTTTATCTTATCATTGTTGGGCCAAAAAATCCGCTTGGCGCCTATATACTTTGAACCCAAGTATAAAGAATGTAACTGTGTAATTGATACTAGAGAGGCTTACGAGTACATAGTAACCGACATGCATATCTTTTAAACACGACGGTAAACAAGTGAGTAAAGCAACGAGACTTTTTGTTGATATAGCTTTATGTAAGTGTTGTACAAGACGGGTTCCTCTAGAAGGGCCGCAGCAGGGTTCATTGTTCCAGCGTGGCTGGTAAAAATAAATCGCAATAAGACCTGTCTCCAGTGAAGCGCATATTGATCAGCTATCATACGCCGCAGCCTTCCAGGAGCCGGGAGGGTATATTCCAGAAAAACAAACTGACTACTGTTAGCATTAGTGCTGGCTTGGATTAGTCAATGACAGCAATAGCCAGCACGCTTACTGCCGTAGTGCACAATAGGTCATCGGAACTTGGTGCGTCCCCTTAAAACGAGAAGGTGTATCGTGGAGATCTATTGCGGTTGCTGGATCAGCCCAAACGGATCGTAAATGTTACCTATTAGTGAAACGCGCAAAGTATATTGGCACCTATAAGAAAACAACTGGAAGAAACGCAAAGAAGAGATACAGCTATTGATTTATGTGATGATGGTTCGTAGCCAGCTGAGCTCACGGCTCTTTACGCTTAGCTGCGTACGCTTCCACACGAATCGCTTCCAGTCGTCACGATCATCATATGAACAATGCGTACAGCTTTGACTCTTTAACCACATTTTACTCTGAACGGACGCAGAACCTTTCCGAGCATCTATGTGAAGATCTATTAGTGAACTAGCGTAACGAACGTAGGATCTCTGTCCGTCGTTAGAGGTGCAATTGTTGCCAATGTGCCGAAATACAAACAGTCGTTACTTACCCGTGAGCGCGACGCATAGCAGGGTAACCGTGGTAACTAGATGCATCTTTTCCGCACTGAGGAGTTTGGTGCCGAACGGACGCTTTTATACTTAGCGTGTCGAGTCGCACCGGCTGATAGAGGCGGTGGAGGTACACGTCACTCTCGAAAACTGTCGACGCTCGTAGCTAGGGACGCTATCCACGAATGCTGCCGGGGACTTTCCTTGAACCGGGGCTGCTCGGTGCCCGTCGCTGTTGCTGGAACGGAGAGGGCAAACGAAAGAATAAATAGTGTGCTAATGCCCGTCGCGAGATCGACATTAGTGATCGATTCAATTTCAAGCGAATTCAATCGCTTCCACGGGAGATGCTTGCAGAGCAGCACGAGTGCACACGAGAATTCAGTGACAGATCTACCCAGTCGTACTATTACCATTTTCATCAGTATTGCTATACAGCTTTAAAAAGCATTACTTTGGTTAGCTCCTCGAAAGTCTTGCCCGGTGGATTAGTGCGTCCTCTGGATAACGTGTACAGAGAGTTATACACATTTAACTAAAAATACCTAGACGATTTAGATAGCTAATTAGTCAAATACTGATATGGACAACAAGGTCTTTTTATTGGCCTAAAAGCTCATTATTTCGGCCGTTTAATCAAACCTTCTTACGGGTTACGTGTAATGATTCTAATGAAATGGGTGCCTCCAAAGTTCTTATTTTATAGGACAACGAACACGCTTGACAAGTAATTAGCAGTAGGTAAAACAGACCAAGTTCTATTTCGTAGCTCTATGATCGTTTCATCCAAATCAGCTTCAGGTCAGCGAGAAATACAACGGCCAAACGACTACTTCTTACCCTCACGCGCCTAACCCTGTAGAAACTACACCAGTAGTTCCGATAGTTGTATAAAAGGACAGCAGATAAGGCCACCTAAAACGATCAGACCTATTTGACGTATGGTCCAGACGATTAATAACGGGGCTTCGCAAATTATGTTCGTTTATTTAATCGCACCTGTTGTGTAGTATATGTCACTGCAGAATTAAGATGATCGACCCTTTCTTTATCAGCCTGGCTCGTTGACCCCCAAAAAATGATGTAAGTCAAACCCTAAATTCCTTCACTATGTGATAGGAGTTTAGAAGCCATATGCTATTTCCTGAAAAAGGTTAACCAAAGAATGAGATCTTAATTGTATTTTATTGTTTAATTAAGAAAGAAAAACGGCATACATGCATATATTCAATGCTGGTAAAAAGACATTACGATTCGCTGTTTCAGGTCCCGCCTGCAGTGAAACGCTCCCACAATCCTCAAAGGTATATATTCAATAGTAATATTTAAATACATTTTTCATATCATGATACGGGCACCACTGACTCTTGTATAATAGAAATTTTTGTGGGGTTCTTCACGCGGTTCCGTTCTCTGGTCAATTCGATCCTGTGGTAGTAGGTAGCTATAGAATCTCAATTGTCGCTAATAGCTCTCTAGATAGGCTAGAGTGTGCTATCAGCATACATATTTCGTGTACATCGAAGCGGAAGGGTAGCGTTTTACTCAGCATTACAATAGACCGACATGGGCCAGATGAGTGCTTGTCGTTTCTCTAGTCAATCCAGAACTTAGGGTACAACAATGTTTATTCAGCTACCGTGAAAAAATTAATTTTTATCATCATTTGTATTTAACGATCGAAATGCTTATAGTGCCGGTATAGTAAAGTTTCAATACATCGTTTTACTATTGAAGGGTGATTTTGACATATATTTGCCTTGTAATAATCATTGCTTATGTACTGTTAGCAGTATTTTTGGATGCATTTCACTCTCAAAGGTAGAGTAGTATTTGCTGAATTAAACAAACGCCACATGGAGAAGCAATGTAGTTGTTTATCCAATTTTTCGAGGGTGTACAACTTATATAGTGCATGACGATAGTCTGCCCGTGCTATGCAATACCTAATCTGTTGTTCTTATTTTTTTTTTTTATAATTAACTACGAACTAGCTACTGAAGCTCTAGAAATAATATCTCGTTTTCTCGGACTCTGGATGTTGTGTGCTACGGAAGTTGTAAATACAAAGTGGTCTTTAATTCAATATGATCCGGGTCGACTCATGCTAAACGGCATAACACCAAAAGAAATACCTAGCAAAGCTAATGTTCGATGAATTTTGACAAGATAAAAGATTCAATCTTCTTTTTTGCATTAGCAATACAACGTCTCCTCTGACTCGGTGGTTATACAATTTAACGCGCGGCACCTAAAAAAAATGTCCTGTTCATTTTACCGGGCCTGATTAGGATTAGTGGAACGAAATGTAATTTCGAAATTATTCGCTTATGAGTTTATTATATATAAAAATTATAAGGCTGGTTCCGATAACGATTCGGCCGGAATTTGCTCAGTGCTTTGCTATTGAAAGGAAGCCGCGTGGTGTCTATGCCACACTAATCCCATGCGAGAACGGATGGCTTCAAATGCCGATTAGAAGGCATCAAGTAATGGATATTTTGCCGCTTTATTAGATGACGTCAAGTCTTCGGTGAGCAACTATAAGTGAAACGTATTGAACAATGAAGAGGTTCCCGGTTAATGTTTGTAAGATGGGCATATTTTTGATTCTAGTTTGTTGATTACCTACGACGCACATGAGGCCCGCCCTAGAAGTGAGCAGGGGTTCATACCTGTACTATACACCTAGTCAGAAAGCCATCTATTAAAAAAAACTTAGATAAATACAATGCGCGGTATCAGTTAATCGACTCTAACCTAGCACGAGTCAAGTGCATTACGAACGTTTAAAACTAAAGTTTCCTTTCTATTAAATCATCTAAAGCTCTCTACATTGTCGAATGTGATACCAGACAAACCCCTACCTACCTACCTACCTACCTACCTACCTACCTACCTACCTACATCCAATTCAGTTGGTGCCGGTCCTTCACTCGCCGTTCGGAAACCACCTAAATATTGAGATTTTATTGAATTACACATTTGTTTTTCTGAAGCATAGGTCGAAGCATAGGCCATCGAGGATAACGGCCTCAGTGACTCTTCGACATCCAGATGGTCCTATTAGTTGAAATGGACGCGGCAAATGATTCGAAATTGCGTTTCTGTTTTGCTTGAACTGAGTTCGATTAAAAGAAAAGATGTGATTCTGTGAATAAATCATTGAAATTGAAAGGTAATAATTTTTAGTGGATTTTTTTTCGTTGTGGATATCTAGGGAAAAATTTTCCGGGCTCGTCAGTAAAATTCGGAATGACAACTTAAACGGCTTTATACTTTCGGGGTACGTTTTGAATTTATTAAGTAACAGTTCTGGGAGTATACGAAACTAAGCTTGCTCATTTGGTTTGTTTGGGCACCCTTGCCTTGATTAGATTTGGCCTGACGTATCTCTGCCAACTATCGGCAGCTGATTTAATCACCATCCCAGGAACAATGCTGACACGTCGGTTAAGGCCGACGATGAACAGTCATTTTGAAAAAGCTATTTGCAGATGTATTAGACTAAAGTCTAATCCAGATTTAGCAAAGTTAATTTTACTTCCTGCAGACAAGATGTACTTGATCACTTTATCCGTATTAATGCTTTGATGTTCGATGATGGTAGCGTTTTATTCAAGTAAATCCCTCTTTTTTTTGGCCTAAAACCATCCGCCACAATATTTCTTCCGCACATTTAATATACCGTCATATGTAAGGTGCAATTGTTTAGCTAGGAGCAAGTGAGGTGGCTGGACCACGTTGGCCTGTGATCGTCCTGTCTATGCACAGTAGAAGTGGACATTTCGTCTGAAAAAACGTAATTTTATATGGGAATTCAGTGACCTTGTCTACGATTCCTTACGTCGAGTCGGTGCGGATGTGTCATTTACGCTAGCCATCTAACCAGCGTATCTTTTTAAAGCTTATTAAAAAAAAAAAAGTTCAAAAGTAAAAGTCTATTCGTAACGATTTGTCAATATATATATATATATATATATATATATATATATCGCCAAGTTCAATATACAGATATCAGAATACTGATTGCATTGCGGCAATAAACGACTATTATTTTCCAAGAAGAGAAGGTGTTAAGTATATCAAAATCACTCAAAAGGTTCTACTTTACACAGTAAAATCATTCACCAAGTTAGGCATCCTAATACAAGGCAGATCACCTAGTTAATGTACGCCACCAATTCGAAATACTGGCAGCACTTCGACGAGATGGCCTGGCTTGTTGAAATGGCAAAATTATTACAGTAATTGAAATATTACATGCTATTTCAATTATCTGCTAGTAAATATCGATACTATAGATTTGTAGAAAAAAGTCCGATGTCTTTGTCGCAGACCGATAATACGCTTTTTCTGCACTTATGTTACTGTGGATTGTTCCAGGGGCATAGGATGTGCGTTATTACTACTATTACATGGTCGATGAGCGGAATGAGGCTATATGACTCAATTAGGCATTAAGAAAATGATATAATTAGGTTTTTACATTAACTTCTCTAATAATAATCGAATTATTATTATTATACTATTTATTATTTTTTGTCTCCCGACAGGCACAATGGTGTGTAGTCTAACGTTCTGTTACGTCTTAGGGACGCATTCATTTTATGATCAGTTACATGGTTTCACAGAAACTCGAGCAGTGTTTTTTGCAGTGTCTTGGCCCTCTAGAATTAGCGGTGGCCTGAACAGGGGTACGTAACACGAACGTGCTCTTTCAGTTACGTGAAATTCCTCTTCTATGTGGTACATTTCCAGAGTCGGAACACTGGTTTGTCTTGCTGGAGAAACCAAATACCGTCTGCTGTGTCGAACATATCCGTAACGCCGTCGTAGAGTAAATCAAAGCAAGCTAGAAGGGTACATTTAGGGAAAGGTAACATACTTTTTCTTACTGAAACAGAATTTTCCTACACTGACGTGTAGTACTCCTTGTAATAAATGTGCTTGTGAAAACCAGAGAAGCATTAGAAGCAGTATAAAAGGCCATGATCTTTACTAGGTTGGGCGCAAAGGTCACTCCTTTAGCCATGTCCTGCTGTCTAGCCCGCAGAAATACAGACTTGGTTATACAGTAAAACAAAAGTTGCTTGAAATTATCCCCATGCATGTAAAACTCTTCGATAAGATCGTTGTGG